GGGGTTCAGGGTTTACGTGCTCATCGTTGAGTACAGTCTTTAAGGTTTTGCGTAAGCTGACACCCAATAAGTTATTCCACCCCATAGCGAACCAGATTGGTGTGGAGGATTTGAGGGCTCGTGTTGAGGATTTAGGGCTTGGCTTTGCGGACCTTCTTTGGGTGTAAGGTTGCTGGAGGATTCAGGCGCTAAGGTTAAGGATTTTGCTACGATGAGGTTACGTAGGTAGTCACAACAAGATTACGCCCCCTTCTTACGTAACCCAAACTTCTAGGATCGGTGTTGAGAGGTTAAAGCCAGCCGAGCTCTTTCCATGCAAGGTGATTCCCAAGCTTAACTTCTATAAATACACCCCAAAATCCTTAAGCTCTAAACCCGAAACCCTCAAAGACCCCTGTTGCCCCTGAAGCCTGCTTCAGTAGATCTTTTCCCGTCCCTGCAAAGGTCTCTGGTCGCTGTTGCATCAACTCGACGCTCACGTGGAGCGCACAGCTCGCCGTTTTAACCCTGCCGTCTCTTAAGGAGTTGGTGGCAAGGGTATGCGCGAGATCCAAAGATGTCCTGAAAGGGATGACGGACAGCGCAGCGCAGGAGTTTCAACAGGCACTTCTAGAGGAGCTTCATGAATTGATTTCCTCTGGGACAGATTTAATGAGGAAGCGCTTTAGCCCGTCGCATTACCCGGAAGTCCAACAGTGGCTTAAGCAGGGTTACAAGGTGCGAGAAGTGGTCGCCACGCCCCTACAGGGTGACGAGTGCACGATCAGTTAGTTTGCGAAAACAGGATCTTGAATGCCGCTGGGTTGCTAAGGAAGTATACCAACCCATGTGGTAGTTTCCCAGAATAGAAGGACCCCAATATAGACCCCAAGATGTTGTAGTCCTCATTGTAGGACCGCCAAACGGGTACCTCTGATGATGGGAAATCCCTGTACACTTCAAAATGGGAGTTTCTCCATATGATCCCCAAAGGTTCTCATATGATAGTTATAGGGTCTTTTCTAAAGGTCGTTCTTGTGGGGCCGTCTTGTTTGGAGGTTTTGTAGGAATCTGCTCCAAGTAGGCCTGGCACGCAGCCACCTCATGGGCTCTATTCTAAACTCCTGAAAGGAGGGCTATATTTATAAGGGATTAACATATAATGCACTACTATAGGGCATATCAAGGGGGATACCAGGAGTTTAGGCTATGGCTCTCATGAACTTGCTGATTCATAGTAGTTGCACATGTTGAGTGATTAAGCCCATTGCAAGTTTGAGGCTCACAACATCAAAGCTAGCATGCGGGGAGCTTGCATGTTCACGAGGGTTGGCAATACCCTCAGCGCCATGGCTTTGGTCATTCGCCTTCTGTATAATAAAAATCATGATGTTCCAGCTCTGGCACGCTAAAATGCAATTCCTTTGCAGCAAGACCTTGTGTATGAGCCTAGCGGTCAAGACATGTCCAGACGCAGATGCGCAACAGAGTTCGATCAAACCCCAGCAGCATCTATCCTGATTCGGCGGCCATGTGGAAGGCACTTTGGAGGAATGAGGAGCTCTTACACAGGGTGGCTTAGTTTACTTGGTTCTAGCAGGAGCCCTGAACCCGGCACAAAGCTTCCTAAAAGTTACCCTCCCCAAAGTCCTTTCGACGGGGTCTATGTGAGCTACAGTCTAAGCTCCTTAAAGGGGTGTATATAGGGGAGTACAGCCCACAACGATGTTGCTCTTACCAAGGCATAAGACTGAGCATCCACATCTTTCCAGGGCAACTAACTATGGGCATACAATTGCATGACAATGAGAATCCCGACGGGAATATGCGAATGCTTGGGTTGAAATGCTTCCTGGTTACGATGATCTGCTTTGGGGTTCAGAGTGTTTTCGGATAGTATGGGGGAGTAGTAAGGAAACCCATCCAAGCAGCATCGTCAAAGCTCAATTCACGCACCTGCACAAGAAGCGGGTCCCGATCTTCAGCGAAGCATGCGGCGGAACCCCTAAAAGCTCCCAAGCCAAAGCATATCAGA